AGGCCATGAAGTGGAAAATATAGGAGAAGAGTAGAGAGGCCCAAGGGGACTTGATATGATATACCAGCAGCACCAGACAGAGGATTTAGTGGTGTGTGGGGCTTCTGTGCCACATTATTATCAGCCAGTGATCTGCCAGGCACATGGGCTGCCCTCGATCCCTTTGGAAGGTTGCAGTCTGCAGATAAGCTTGCAAGCTCACAGCAAACAGAATGCTTGTTACCATCTGTTTACACTTAACTTGTATGGCTCCTGTTGGTCAACTTTCCCATCCAAACAGCAGAGCTGGTATTAAGCATTTTCCTGGTTATTATGAGAATATGTATTGAAAAGATCAGCGTTTTACAGGTGCTTGTCTGTCACCGTGAGAACACACATTAAAAAGATGCTGATAGCTTCTGACATCACCTGTAGCACCAGTGTCCTAGATAAGCTTGTTTTCATAAGACATGTAGACACAGGCTGGCAGTGGTGTTGGATGTTTCCAAAGCATGGCGGAGAAGAGTGACAAGGAGCAAAGTGGCACATGGTGGGCAAAACTGGGGAGGGAGCAGCATGGAGAGCTGATGGACAGGCTGCTGGAGGATTAGGTGGTAAGCCTGGCAGAGGGCTGCCTTTCTAGATGGAATGCTGCCTGATGCACTGTGGTGATTAAAAAATAAAACTGAAGGGTGGGGAGTGTGCTTAGCCTCTCATAAAAGCAGCCAAAAGAAATATTGAAGATTAGATGCATGAATAAGCAAAATAGTTAAGCAAATATGGAGCCATGAGGGTGGAAATGTTGAGAGCAGCGTAGGTCAACCTGACACGGTACCGGAAATAATCGAATCAAACACTCAGAAAGATGCTTGCAAACGAAACAGGATATGGTTTTCACTGAAGCGGGGGGCAGCAAAGCAGCGCAGTGGTTAGCGCTGTCACCTCATAGGTGATCTGGGGCCTTTCTGTGCGGAGTTTGCATGGTCTCCCTGTTCCTGTATGGGTTCTCTCCGGGTACCCCGGCTTCCTCCCACAGTCCAAAGACATGCAGCTTAGGTTGACTGGTGACTCTAAATTGCCCGTAGGAGTGAGTGTGAGTGTGTGTGGTATAATGGGTCAAAAGAAAAACATTAAACCTTTGCTCTTTGAAACCTAAAAAGGGAGTGTGTGGTAGTAGTGGTTTGGGAGTGACAGCAAGAGCTGTTGCATAATTTATCTGTTCAGTCTCATGATGGCCGCAGTCACACTGGTCAACAGTTTTCTATGGACTAGGATAAGAATAAGGATAATCACCTTTATTGGCCAAGTATGTTACACACAAGGACGTCACTGTATAGATTAGTATTTAACAATTTCAATTTCTACATTACAATTGTTTAGCATTCAGTGGAATAACACTATCATCTATGCTGTGGTGATGATAAATTGTTTCATAATTACTATCTTCTAGGTAGCAACTCCACCACCACCACTCACCAACCACGATGATGTACACCCTGCTCCCACAATTCTACTCATAAACACAGAATTTATTTCTCAACGACTCAGTCGTTGGAGCGCATTGTTGGCTGTCGGACTGAAACCCCACCCAGTGGGATAAATGCCTCCTACTCACCACCAGTCAGGCAGAACTGATGAAGCCTCTTGGATGAGAGGTGAAACGTCTTCTACCTAAAACTACATCCAGATTCTTCTAAGTTCTTTCAGCATACTATGACCTGGATGACTAAGAATTTGCACTCATTTAAACTGCACAGAAATTGGTTTTACTGGAATACTAGTCTATTTTTGCCAGTGAAATGTGTTTTTTATTCTTAACATCCTAACCAGATATCAACTTCTTCCTATTTTCTAACCTTTATTTATTCAGGGTGTTTTCACTGAGATGCAGCCTCTTCTACAGGAACACCCTGATCACAGTGACACTGGGAAGATGTCCAAGGCACCATTGTCACAGTGGCATTGTTGAGGGAGGGGCAAGCACTGCTTTCTCACTTGTCCCATCCAGACTTTAATCCTTGGGTCCAGAGACTGAACCAGTGACCTTCTGATCACAAGTTTGCTTCTCTAACATTTAGATCAGAAACATGATCTTACCACCACAGAACATGTACAGTCGTATGGCTGTATTCTGAATGGTAGTATCTAAACCACATGTTGGGAATGTGGGCATGTGTGACCAGTACTCAAAATGTGAGCACAATCTTTGGTTCATATTCAAAATTACGCTCCACTGGCTGACTCAAAAAACACAGATTCCTATTGATTGTCTATGGAGCAGATCAATGTCTGGATAGTAGAGCTGCTCAGTGGTTAAATCATCAGAAATCCAATAAGCAATCAAGACCATTTAGGCAGGTTACAGTACCACAAGTCATTCTGCTACAATATCATATCCTATCTACTCTCCGCATTTGGTGTTTAAAGACTGTCTTTATGTGACTAAACATCTTCTCTTCTACTTTTTCTATAATAGACAAATCCCTTCACCTTTATGTTTGTTTGTTTAATGATAGATTTGAGTTTTGTATAAAATATACAACTCAAGATATTAAAACAATTATACAAATGGTTTCACTTTCACACTGGGTGGGCCATTCTGATAATAAGTGACATTTCTTTTTTTTAAATATAAAAACAAAACAAAAAATCTGCTCCCGTCAGCTGTCTCCCACAGTGCAGACGTTTTTTGTAATGCATACAAACGTGTTAAGAGTAGTCACATTTTAAGAAAAGTGGTGTCAAATGTGTGCACATTCAGGTGCAATCCACAAATGAATCAGCAGTTTGATCTACCAGGTACAACTGTGATACTGGTCCCAATAATGGTAACAGATTTGTCAACAAAAATTGTCCAGTTGTGCGTCACAACTTGAAAGTATTGCAGAAACCTAACTGTATGAACACATACTCAACAATTACCCTGTCTCATAAGTGACATCACTGCATACAGCAGTAAATCAAAAGGCCCACAGTGCATTTCAGTGGCCATTTTATCAATATACTTAATGAAAATCATATAATAGATATGCAAGTTAAACAGGCCAAGTTGCTGGCTTAAGCAGCCAAAAATATACTAAGACTGAGATTGAAATATTAGCCTGACTCTGCAGTTATTAAATCAAAACTGTCAAACTACAACAGTTTCATTTCAATTTCTGTGAAGAGAAAGCAAAACTGCAGTAAGTAGAAGTGTGACAATATTTTTATCATCAAGGTGAAAAGCTGTCTTGTGATATCAATACATAACAGAACCAGAGCAGCAGCAAGCGTGATAGAGTGAAAGAAGGTCACACACAGCTTCAATTAGAAGTTAGAAACTCATGCACAGTTATAAGGTCTGAGGAGACTCTTGTGAACTCATACAGGAGAGAAGCCAGTCAGGTGAGTTTGTGGCAGAACCTTTTACAGTGCTTGCATATTGTTGTCTTACTGCATATGATAACTCATACTCAGAGAACAGAACTGAAGTGACATTCATTACAAGATGATTAGTTAAAACATTTCAAAATGCACCTACATTGTGCATGTTGTGACTTTGTGTTGAATAAAAGACTATTGTCCAGTCATACATTTCATCATTGAAGATTTCTTAAAATAGTGTTAAAATCTTGTCTCATCTCATTCTTGTGAACCCAGTATCACATAGCGTCTATCTTCTTGTCTTGTGAGCCAAGAGTATCAATACAATACACCCCCTCAATACACCCCCAGCAGTAAACATCTTAAATATTATGAAATGTTACCGATTCTGTCCAGAGAG